TTCCACTGAAGTTCTCCGCTGGCCAGGTGCACTGAAAGGGTTTCACGCCGGCGTGCTCACGTTCGTGATCGCGAAGATCGTCAGCGCTGGCGAAACGCCACTGGCAATCAGGGACTATGCGGCACTTTAACGGGCACTCAAACTCCTCCAGGAGTTTTTCATAGTAAGCGCGAACAGCTTCGTCTGGTTCCTCTTCTTCTTCTTCTTCCTCTTCTACCACTTCGATGCCAGAACTACTGTCGTCAGAGAGCTCCTCTTCCTCCTCCTCCTCCTCCTCCATTTCCTCCTCGTCAGCTGTTTGAGAAGGAGAAGGCAGGTCCCGTCTTTCGGCTCGGGCAAACAACCTTCGTTCTGCCTGCAAGGCGTTTTCGTCTACGACAATATGCTTCCGTGGATTGACTTCAGGGTGACGTCTAATAATATGCTTCTTTACATTACCCTGTTCAGCGGTCGAGTGGTGGCACACTTTACATGAAAATGGCGCCACACCTCGGTGAAGACGGTCGTGGCACTTCAAACTTGAAATGTCAAAGCACACCTTTCTACATGGCGGCATTCCTCGTTGACAAATGAAGTAGGAGCGATTACCGCGAGTTCGACGACAAATGATCAAGGAGTCCTCTTCAGATGAAGGTGCTGCTACTGCCGTTGCTGATGTTGATGGTGATGATGATGCTGCTGCCGCTGCTAACGTTGATGGTGATGTTGATACTGCAGTTTCCGGAGGTGGTGGCAAGTATTCATCTTCATCTTCATCTTCCTCATTTTCACCCGAAGGCCCAAGTAATTGTTTCATAGCGTATTCAAAGAGCTCATTTTCCACCTTCAACAGCTCTGCATCCTCCTCGATCAAGTCGTCGTTTTCCGTGTCACAGTCGTGCAGGCGGTGAACGTGTTTTGAGAGGTTGACTTTAAGGGTAGATGTGTAGCCGCACTCTCGACAGCGGTACGGTCTCACTCCACTGTGTGAGCGATCGTGAAATTTTAGTTTAATGGGCTTAGTAAATTCTCTTCCACACAAAGGTCTCTGGCAGATGTAGCTGACTTGGTTGTTCCGAATTTGGCGGTAGATGACCAGCTCGTTCACTTCAGAAAGCTGGTTCTCTTCATCTCCTTCATCCTCTTCCTCTTCCTCCGCCTCTTGCTCAGGATTTTTTTCTTCCATTTCATCAGAATTGGAAGGAAGTGTAAGCATTATTGCATTTGCAAAAAGTTCTTTTTCCTGCTGCAGAAGTTCACTGTCCTCCTCCAGATACTCCAGCAGGTAGTCATCAAAGTGTTTTGCCAGATTTTTCGATTTCTTTTTGCCCCAAATCGGGTTGAAATGAACCGAGCGAAGGTGGGTTTTTATATTATAAGTTTGAGAGGACAGATATCCACACATTCCACATCGCCAAGGATTAGCTTTCCGATGGATTCGATCGTGTCGTACCAAACGATGATAATGTGAAAACTTTTGTTTGCAGTTTGGGCGTTGGCATATGTAAATTGGAGGGCCGTCTTTTGGGTTAGTACGGCAGATCACCAATGGGCCTAGCGATTCAGCATTGGAAGGAGGAGGAGAGGATGCGGTGTTTGTGGATGCTGCAGTGTTATTCGAGCTTTCAACAATGTTACCATCAGCGACATTTTCAATGGTAGAAGTTTGAAAAGCCGCAGAAGGACGCTGTCCATTTGCAGTAGAAGAAGAACTTGCAATCTGAACGTCAACCGTGTTCAGCCACTGCTTAATCGCTTCTTCCTCTTTTGCCAGTCCGGGCTCATCCGTTTTCATGTACCAAGTGCACATGAAGGTTACATCTTTGGCATCATGATACTTAATGAAGTGGCGCTCTACCTCTTCCTTCGACGGAACGGCAAAACTGCAACCTGGAAAGGTGCACTGAAACGGCTTAAATTTTGAGTGCCATCGGTCGTGACGGCGCAAGCTTTCGAAATCTCCAAAATCAATCCGACCGCAGACTCGACAGGAGAAGGCGCCGGCAGCGGTGGTGGCGGCAGGTGCGGCGGCGTCAGAATTAGAAGTGGCAGTTGTTGGGACTGAGGTGGCCAAAGAAGATGATGATGGCGGTGGGCGGATTGACGGTGGAAGAGACTGTGTGTTTGCTGAAGCTTTGACTCTACACGCCTCACTGGCCAGCCACTGCTCAATCTGCTGCTGTTCCCGGTCCAGCATTGCCTGGTCAATGTCGACATGTCGAATGAGCGCCATTCGGCCGCCCTCACCACCTCCTGGACAGGCAGCAACCTCAGTGCTGTGAATGTTCACAATGTGACTTAACATGTTCGACTGAGTTCTGTTTCGTCTGGAGCAGAATCGACACATGAACGGCTTCAGAGTGTCGCAGTGTGTTCGGTCGTGTTCACAAAGACTACGAAAGCACTCGGCACGAAAGTGGCAACCGCTCTGTCGACAGATGAAATTCATGCCTCTTAACCGTTTGTTGTTCTTCTCTTGCCCCTTTCTAGTAGAGTGGCTGCTGGTGTTTTCTTTAAGTGGATCGTAGTCTTCATCACTGTCCGCTGATGGTGATGTTAACGGTGACGAAGGTGTTGATGTTGTTAGCATGGATGACGGGGTCGAAGGTGTCGAAGGTGTCGAAGGTGTCAAAGGTGTCGAAGGGGAGGAGGATGATGAAGATGGTGAGGGGGATGAAAGTGATGAGGGCGATGGTGAAGTCCGGTTATCCTTACCGTCTTCGCCATGGTTATCAGCTTC